ACACACACATACACACACATACTCACACACATGCACACTCTCACACACGCACATACACACTCACATACACATGCATACTCTCACACACGCGCACACACACACAGACCTTAATCACCCTCTTTGCAATCCCAAATCACTATTCTCTAAGTAGCGTTGAAGGGAGAGTCATAACCTGTATCGATTGGATATTATTTGTTTCTGTTTCAAATTTCTCCCCCAGCTCGTTTCTCAGGCGCTCGGTGGCGTCTCCTTCCTGTTCCTCGTCTTCCTCGCTCATCTCTTCCTCATCCTTTGGAAACTCTTCCTCAAGGATGTTCTCAATATCGTCCTCATCTTCTGCGTCTTCGTCACTAAATTCTTCCTCGTCTCTGAAAGCGCCCTAAGGAAGAAAACGGTCTCTTTACTTTTTATCTAAACCTGGTGTCATGTGACACTGTCATGTAGTAACTCCGAATCAGTTGGCAGTGCTGTCCAAATATGACGGCTGACACCTAGACATTTAATGTCTTCAAGGCACTGACATTGTGATGTTCCCGCAAACAGACAGGATGTGAAGTGCTGTTTATGCCCAGAGCTGTCATGGTGTGTGTTTTGATAATCTTTAGAGATAGTTTCTAATGCAGCTCAGAGATTATAAAATACTACCAGCTGCACTGCCAACTGGAACAAGATCTTTGAAATGGGTACTACCTAACTCACAGGATGGGAACCGGGAGCAGCATGTAAGCCTGGGGGGTGGGGGGATTGTCTTGACTGTGTGGGAGGGCCCAGCCCACTGTGGGTGGTCCCAGCTGTATAAAAAAATAAAACAAAACAAAAAACAAAACAAAACAAAACCAGACTGAGCAGTCCATGAGGAGGAGCAAGCCAGTCAGCAGCACTCCTCCACAGCCTCTGGGTCAGCCCCTGCCTCCAGGTTCCTACCTTGAGTTCCTCGTCTTCCTTCCCTGGATGCTGAACTACAAGCTCTAAGAGGAAGCACACCTTCCTCCCCAGGCTGCTTTTGGTCATGGTGTTTTATCACAGCAGCAACAATTAAAATAAAAAACAGTTTAATTGCTTATTATATTTAGTGTGTGTGTGTGTGTGTGTGTGTGTGTGTGTGTGTTCTCTCCCTGAAGGTATTAGAGATTGACCAGTTTCTTTTGTGGATCTAGGACTGAATTGAGGGCCTTGTACAAGCCAGTCGGATACTCCAAGACTGAGTTACTCCCCAGCCTTACTTGTATTTTATTTTAAATATAAATAGGGGTATTCTCTTTTCTTTTTCTACAGAGATGCCTTGAACGTGTATTTCCTTGTTAACAATATTTCAACAACCCCATAGGCTGCCACAGCACCACCATCTCGTCAGCTCCTTCTCCGTTTTAAAGAGCAGTTTGGGAGTCAGTAGTGTGACTTGTGATGTCCTGGCTTGCTCTCCGGCTCACCAGTCGGAGCAGAGCTGACATCTTCCACTCTGCCTGGCCTTTGAGTTTAGTCTTCCTTCTGTTCTTGATTTTGCAATTGAGGACTTAACAATCGTAACTTTGCTTATTCATTCATCGTCTGTCCTGACTCTCTGCCCTTAAAGAGGCTGTCTGTACTCTTTCTCGCCTCTCCCCAGTCTCCAGGTTCTTACATGTCCTCTCCTCCCCTCTAACTGTGGCTTAGCATTTAGTTCTTCCTGTAGAAACTGACACTACATCAAACAATCAAACAAACAAACAAACTGTTTTTGATTGCTTCTGCTCATGAAATGCAATGGACAGAACCGACTCTTTAATGACAGAACCTTCACCATCACAGCAGCAGGCAGAGACCCGGGATACGTAGCTGGATCCAAAGCGCAACCCAGTCTCAGGCGCTGCTTCTCTGTCCCGGCCAGCGTTATTTCTCTTCTTAGTCAAAACCACGGCCGATTACCTCGGCTGATTTTCACTGTCCCTACATCTACCTGCCACGTTTCTACCCTCAGTCCCGGCTGCCCTGAGGGTATTTGCTTTATTCTCCTTTTCCTGTTCTTTCCCTGTGGGTAGAAGAGTTGTCATTCACTGTATCAACTGGACAATTCCTCAGGAAGAATGTGAGAGGTGTCGCTCAAAGATCTTAAATATATGAAAAGATTTCCATTTTACCTCCACAATGTATAAACAGATTTTTTTTAAACGTACAGATGTCCAAGTTGAAACTGACTAGACTTAAAATTTTTAGCGGCTTTGTCTTGGTTATCTGTCATCAGATGGGTTAGTAAGATGTTTGAAACAGTCCTGTCCTCATTTCTCCACTGGCACTTTCCAATTTTTATCACTATCACCACCATATCATCATCATCATCATCATCACCACCATCACCATCACCACCATCATCCTTTTGAGACAGGTTCTCACTATGAAGCCCTGGCTGGCATGTAACCCACTATATAAATCACGCTGGCCTCAAGCTCTCAGCGATCCTCCTGCCTCTGCCTCCTGAGTGATGGGATAAAGATTTGTGCCACCACATGCTTCAGGAAACAAACAGAAACTTTGGAAATGATTGTGGTCTTATCTTTATGACTGCCATTCTCAAATTTCATGTATGTTTGTCTAACGCGTGTATATTTTCGATGTTCTGCTTGGCATCATGTAAGCTCCTCCAGGACACATTCCTGCCTTCCTGGTATTGTTCTATATTTTTGGAGATGTGATTCCTTTTTAATCTTCTGTTTGCCTTTATCTTAGATAATTTTAGATTTCATGAACTCTCTCTCTCTCTCTGATTTTTCATAGTGTCCTGTTTTTTTGTATTTTGTTTGTTTTTAAAATTACAGTTCAATTAATTACTTGGTTTTGTGTTTGTCTGCTGGGGACACATGTGGAGGTCAGAGGGCAGCCTGGAGGACTTCTTCTACCACGAGGGTTCAGGGATGGAACTTGAGCTGCCAGGCAAGATGACAGAACCTTTCCCCACTGAGCCACCTAACCAGCCCTAGATTTTGTTTAATGGTACAAGTTTCTTCTTGTAGTGTTCTGAAAACTTCTGAGGAAAATTTGAACTCTTTTAATGTTTAGTGATGTTCCCTGGGTTGCAACTTAACTTTTTGGCCAACTATTTTGTTCATTCACAGAATTCTCAGTTTTACTCATAACTTTTCTCAAGAATATGGTAATCTTACCTTACCATTTATTTATTTATTTATAAATTAAAGACTAAATTGATCAATTTAGAGAAAAGTAGGTCTCTCTGGATGTGAGTAATGCTGCATCATATTTGAAGTTAAGACGTGAGGAGGAGAAGAGGCAGGAAGTCTAGGTCTTGCTCAGGAGATGGAACATTCTGCAGCACTACTGTCTATAGTTGGTTTGTTTAATTTCTTTAGAAATTATCTACATTCTTTCATGATAGGACAGACAAACGCCACTGGTACAGGAGGAACTGACAGAATCAACCTAATCAATTTTACTGCAACATATCCCTTTAGACTTTTTATGGTGGTTTGAATAATAAGGTCCCCATAGGCTCCTATGTTTGAATCTTGGTCCCAGTTGATGGAACTATTTGGGAAGGATTAGGAGGTGTGGCCTTGTGGGAGGAGGCGTGTCACTGGGGGTGGGGTTTGAGGTTTAAAAGACATGCCACTCCCAGTGTGCTCTGTGCCTCTTGTTTTCAGCTTAGAGATATGAGCTCTCGTTGAGCTGTTCCGGTATCTGTGCCTTCATTCCACCTCTGAAACAGTAAGCCCAACTAAATGCTTTCTGTTATACATTGCCTTCGTCATGGTGTCTCTTCACAGCAATAGAAAAGTAACTAAGACACGTTATAGACAATTGAATTATATGTAAATGATGAATTGTGTTCTGCCTTTCTTTATATATGCTTTTTTATGGTGCTGGGGATTGAATCCAGCCCCACTAGACAAGGCTACCACTAATACATATTTCCAGTATTATGCAATAGTTCTTAGCACATGAATTTGACAAGGACCTATGGTGTAAGATTCATTTTGTTTTAAAAGATCAAGATCCTAAGAATATTTACAGCACGTGATCTGATAGAGCCACAGCCTAATTCTTTGAAATACTTTTTTTGTAAACGGCAATTTACTCTTCTTTGGTTGTGCTCCCCCACCCCTGACATCTTGCCTGTCAGTCTTCATTATAGGAGATACATATTCCAAACTTCATGATCTTAAGAGATCTGCTTCCACCACAAAGAAGAAAGCTCATTCTCCCTCCTTTCCCCTATCCCTTCTTTTTCTCCCTCCCCTTTCTTTCCCCATTCCCCCTTTTTCTTCCCTCTCTAACTCATCCCAATGGCCCAAAGAGTGATCAAACCTAGACACTTGGACAAACAGTCAGAATTAGAAGGAAATAGCTAGGGAAGGGTGACTTTTCAGATTCTAGGTGTTTGTCCAGAGGGCAGCCTCGGTTACAAGTACATCCTGCTCACTAAAATTTTAGCAAGAAGTCTACTGTTTTTTTTTTGTTTGTTTGTTTGTTCTTATTTTTTCCTTTCTGAAGAGAACAGGGAAAAGAAACTACAATCAGCATCTCTAGAAAGTAAAGAAAACTTCAGAGAACAGAGTCAGGGAAAGCCATGCCACATTCAGTGCATGGATGCTCTCTCCAAGTGTCCTGCTCACCTGGGACTGTCAGAGGGCCATTCCTTAATAGTGTACCTGAGTCGCTGCCCAATGCAAGAAAAGCAGACTATGCTTGGCCTCACAAGGTTAACTCCTGCTAAAACCAAACTCCAAGTTCTCTGAAGGCATACAAAAGCATCCAGAACCTAGACTCATAATGTTTATCACTGAAAAACATAAATCTCGCATTACTCAGGATAGTAGGGATTCAGAAACTGTGGCCCATTCTCAAGAAAACAACAGTGACTGAATGCCTGTCCCATTTGCTGGAGTCACTGACCAAGAGTTTGAAAGCAGGTACCACGGCCTTGCAGGACAGAGATGGAAAACGTGCACACCAAGCATGTGGAGATTTTAGGATTAAGAATAATAATGCTTGAAACAAAAAGTTTTTTGAGTTCACTTAACAGTGGGATGGAGATAGCAGGAGGAGTGTTTGGTGATTTTTGAGGATACATTGAGAGAATTACACAATTTAAAGGGGGATGGCGATTAAAAATTTAACAGAGCCCAGGGACTATGAGATACATGGGTAGACTTAAACAGCTCTGTGGAGAAAGTTAGCTACAGATTTTAAAAGGTTTAGTAAGTCTCAAATTGAATTCATATCAAGCAAATGATAGGTAAGTGCATTGTAATAAATTGTTTTTTGAAAAAAACGCAATGGAAAGCAGGTACAACTGAGAGCAGGTGCAGCTGAGAGAGAGCAGGTGCAGCTGAGAGCAGGTACAACTGAGAGCA